TCATTAAAATGGTGTTATGCAAGGCCATCTAATGACTTAGAATGATGTTCTATTACGTTTTCTAAAAGCATATTTACTGAGCACTTACTCTATGCTCTGCATTTTGCAAAGCACTTTAAGCATTATCTTGCCTAATTCTCCCAGTGATCCACCTGACTCCTTCAATCAGTAGCCAAATCCTCTAACTTCTACCTTCGGCATGTTTTTCTCATATCCAAGCCTTTCTATTTATCCCACTGCCACCATCCCAGTGCAGTCCCTTTGTTAACCTCCTCCTTGACCTCTGTAAGATCTTTTGAACTGGTCTTCTCGCCCCCATCTCTCTGCTCTCACCTTTTGGCCTATCTCAACTTAGTTACTTCATATTCATGCTAATCCACTACCTCTGCTAAGAATCCTTCAGAGATTCTCCACTTAGTTTCCCACTTTCCAATCTTGATTTCTATGGTACCCCACACCTACTCCACATTTCAGCCACGTGGTCTACTTGCAATTGTCAGGATCTTTTCCTTGGTCTCCTTTCTCTATCTAGAAATCATGCTCCCCTCATCTCTGCCTGTTGAAATTCTGCTGATTATTCCAGAAGCAGGTCAAGTGTCAACTGTTCAAATATGTTTTCTTCTTTTCCTATCAACTCTATATTATATGCCATTCCCGCATTGCTTACCACATGTTAACATTATGTCATCATTTGTACGTCATTATTTGTGGACTTATCTTTTCTGCCTACCAATATTTCTGAAGCCCCTATGACATGTCAAGGATATATACTAGGCATTTTACATGTGTTATCCAATTTAATTGAATCCTCACAATAGCCTTGTGAGATAGGTGTTACCATCCCCATTTTACAGATCAGGAATCTGAAGCTGTCAGAAGTTAATTAACTTGCTCAAAGTAGCATCCTTACTAAGTGGCAGAGTCATCATTCCTTCACCAAATTTTATTCTAATCCATGTCTGCCAGATTCCTAAGCCCTCTGGGCTTTTCAACACAGATTGGGATGTCCCTTTGGGGGCTATTAGCACTGAAGCCTCAGGGCAATACCTATCTGGGAAAGGCAGTTTTCTCTTCCTCTCTCATTTGATTTAGATTCGTTGTGCTATAGAAAATGCTCCTTTGGCTCTCAGTCAGCACTTAGCCTGGGCTAGCACAGACTAAAGAAATGATTCATGAAGACAAACGCCACACAGGATGTTTAGTTCCACCGGTGACCCTGATTATTGTAAAACTGTGAAAGGAACGCCAAGCCCCAGCACACGTTTAGCAATCTAGAACTCCCAGCTCTCTGCCTCCTCAGTTTAGGCTTTACCCTAAACCTCTTTGTTCCCTGATTCGATCCAGACGGATGCCTCAGATTTCAGAAACAAGGCAGGAACAGCATTGTTGTCATGAGGGTCAGCCTTGGCCGATAAGACTCCCTGCCGTTAATACCCAGCAAAGACGCACGAGAAATTCACATGAAGAGTAAGAACAGGGAAGGGTTAGTCTACCCTGAATTGTTTTTTTTCACCATTTAGGACTGGAAGCCCCTAAAACTTATTGGGTCAATTCATACTGCCAAACAAAGAATATTATAATAATGGGTTTATTCTCTTCCTTATTGTTTTGGAGTCGAGGGTGTTCAGCAGCCACTGTTTGCTCAAGAAGAGTGTAAACAGGACTTGCTGACGCCCGTGGCCAACATAGATGACTCTTAAGCCACTTTCACTCCGGCATGGGGTGTGGATCTAATGGTAAAGAAGCTGAATGGGAAAGAGAGTTAGATAACCCTAATTTGTGTTTTATTTGTATTTTCTCTTTCAGTCCTCAAAGCAATCTTTTTTGAGGTAGGTGTTATTGAAATACCAATTCTACAGATCCAAAACCTGCGTGGTAAGTAACAGGCAGGGACTGGAACCCTGGTATGTTGAGTTCCACAGCTTTCCACTGCCCTCAGCTTATGCTCTGTGGCAAGGCCTTTTGCTTAGGCAAATGCCAATCATTTAAAAAGGACTAAAGGCAAAATTTCTACACAAGTTAGAGCTCTCAAGTATCAATATTCTTCCCTCCCTCCCAAGCAAGATGATACAAAGTGTTTAATTTCTTAACCGGCTCGTATTTTCCATAGTGGACAAACATATCAACAAGAAGTGGTAGTTGAACGGTAAGATTGTTACCTTCCACACAGGGGGAGTCCTATGTTGGATTCTTAGGCAAGTGAGTTTGCTTGATGGAACTCACTTGGTTGGTTAGACCACAGGCCACCAAGGCCAGTAAGCAACACTTACTGACAAAATCATCCTGTTCCCAGCCATCTTTAAAACAGGTCATACAGTGACTGGGTGAAAATGTGGATGGCCCAGGGCAGGACACTGCTGGTACTGATACAAGTTACAAAAATTTCCACTGACTGGGGTCACTTGTTCATATTCATGAATGAAGTGAAGTATCTTTATTCACACAAAAATTCTCTTCTCTCTTCCCACCCCCCTCACTTCTTCATGATCTGTTTTGTCATAGATGGTCTAATGGTTAGAATACCGTCATAATAATACATTTCCATATGGGACGGGGTTATGGTTGCTAATCACTAGTTAACCATGACAACTTATAAATAATATTTCAACCTCTCAAAACCTTAGCCAAGTATGACATTTCAGATTAATTGTACAGGGCTAGACTCAACGTATTACAAAGTCTTTCATATTTCACGTAGATAACAACTTTATTTGCCTTCTGCCATGAAGTTCTTGTAAATATGTTATTGCTGCGTCTGCCATATGGTTTTTAAAAAGTTACTCAGAACACAACCAATTATTGTTATTTCAATACCATAGAAACTACTGAGTTTTGTTACTCCTTTTTTGTATCCCTCCAAAAGAATGTTCAAAGGCATTTTTGGTTGGAAGACATTCACTACTTATTCTCTGAATTATGTTGGCAACATTTTAGAAACACCTTGAAAAAGACTTACGACATATGTCAGCAAAAGTCCAGAGAAGGAAAGTAGAGATTGGCTGAAAGTGAGATACTACAGAACTCAAAGTCTGGCCAAAGGTGGGTCATGCACTGTCAGGTACACTAAAGAAAGCACACCGGGGGAGGCAAACTATAAACAGGATCCACATTTAGCAGCCCACAAGGAAACTGGATGTTTAATACCAAGGGAAGAGAGGTGATGGGATCCTTCAGTCCCCCTTGCAGACCTCCCATTTTCATACTTTCTTGAAGCCATGATAAAATCACAAGGATTCCCACTTCGATCCATTATTTTCCGTTGGCCTTCCAAACTCCTTTCTTACCCCACTTCTCCCTTTTCCCACTTTCTATTTTGCCCCTCTGTACATAATCTTTTGTTTTCAACCACTTTTAAGGTAATTTCATCCCAGCTGGGAAACAACCCATGTCTTCTCCTTCCCTCATTCCCAAGTCCAGGCACTCAGGTCCCTCCTGAGGTCCTTGGAGCTGGGACCTTTCCCCTGAGCTCAGCAGCCCAAGCTGTGAGGCTGATCTGTTTCGTGAGTCCTCCAGTGGGCTGGCTTCTCCATGACGCCAGTCTACTCCTCTTCCTCCCCCACCCCCCATCCCCAAAGAAACCTAAACTCCGTGGCTTCTGAAACTGTCTTGCGTGGGTCCCAAGATCCCTGCCGAGATCCAAGATTTTCTGACCTAAGTGGGGTCGGGTCGGGAGGAGAGTACCTCTTTGCAGGCGTGAAGCTCCGGTCCCGCTCCCTGAGTCACCTGGAAGGTGGTCCCAACCCAGAGCAGCAGCCGCAGAAGCCGGAGTGTGCGCGGCTCGGTTCTTCCCCTGCCCCTGGCAGAGGGATGGAGGCTGTGCCCAGGCTCAGCCATAGTGTTGTTCTGAGCGAGCGGCAGCAGCGGTTCAGGTGCTGCGGCTGCAGCTACTGCTGGAAGAAGGCGGAAAAAAAGGGGAGGGAGGTTCACAGGGGGGAGGATGCAAGGGGCTGGGCCCGCTTCAGTCACCTCCCTGCGGCTACGCCTAGGCAGCCCATCCTTCCTCCTCCCTCCTTCCTCTTCTTCTCCTCCTACCCACGTCGCCTTGGCAACCGCCTCCTCGTTCCCTCCGCGCGGGTGGGGCACCGGACCACTAGCTCCTCTGCAGCTCACCTGCCGGTCGCCATGGCAGCCGCCGCCACTGGCGCGCGCGGCGTGGGAAGCGAGTGCCCAGGGTCTGCAACCGTCCCAACAGGCGCTCACAGGGCTCGTGTAAGGAACGCGGTGGAAACAACCTCCAAGCCATCGCCACCAAATTCATTATTTCGTAGCCATCGGCTACTTATGAACACCTCTAATTTTGCAGACGTGGCGTTCTATATATACTTATTAAGCACCTCCTATGTGTGAAGCGATAGTAAAATGATTGAGATGCCGTCTCTTCTCCAGAGCTTATAGCCTGGAAGAGTGGCCCCGGCACGTGTCACCTACTCTAACAGCCTCTTCTGGAGATCTTACTTCCACCTCGCCAAATCCATCTGTGCCTTTACAACCGGCGCTATGCTAAGCCCTGAGACTCCTTTAAGCAAGGAGAGTTTGCCTTAGCCGGCAATTTTCCAAGCACGACACCTGGACTCTTCCGTCTCTTGACATCCCCATTCTCTCATCGCTTTGAGAAATCCTTTGGTTAGATGCCAGGAGGAAGGACATTTCTGGGCCACCTTTTAGGAATACTTTCTTTAACTGAAGTCTTTTGCAGAAGACCTGTTCGGCGTTTTTCACCGAAGTCTCAGGAGTGCCAATCCAGGGCTCCCCGGTACACTCAGCGGCGCTTTCCCTCTGCGTTCCCAGTAGCTTCTTCCCGAGGGGCCTCCCGCGTTGGACCGCCAGGTGGCGCCATTCTCGGAGGGAATTCGCCTCAGTCATAGACGGCGGGGTAGTTGCCTGGCAACTGAAATTGGGCGTGCCAAACAATTGGGACCCCGGCTCCTCCGCGTGCAAGATTGTGAGCGGCTGCGCGGGCCTCTCATCACTCTTAAGAGTGTCTCGCTCGGCATTTTACCATGCCTCTCACCCGAGACCCTTTCCAGCATCCTACGTTGGAAAACGATGATTCCTACTTGGGAAAACTGCGGGCTTCCAAGGTACTGAGGTTTCTTGCGCAGATTCCCAGTAGGGTCGACCGCACTCTTCTTTCTGTCGGCGCGACAGGAAGAGATGGTAACTTAAAGGACTATGGTGAGGACACTGAGTCAGGTACCGGAGAAGTCTGTTCTCTGCCTTCCTCCATGTCCCCATATTCAGGTCTGCCAACATTTCACAGGTGCTTTTGAGCAGAGGCAAGTGGAGTTCTAGTCCAGAGGAACAAGAGGCACTCACAGCCCTAAGCAATGATTGCCAAAATGGGGCTTACCCAGGCCCAGGTTCCACTTTTCTCGTAGAAGTATTTGAGATGTTTGAAGTGGTGAAAAATAAGGTGAACTAAATGGTAATTGTGGCTTAATAACAAAATCAAAGCACTCCCTTTTGTTTATTCAACATTTATTATTTACTGTATGCCGGGCGCTCTGCTAAAAACTGAGGTTGTATAGACACATTAGATTAGCTCCTGTTCTCAGGGAAATCTAGTATAAAAGCCAGACTGACAACAGCAACAGCAAAAGTGCTTGCACAGCAGCACATGTGTTGTGACAGTTATATGTGGTTTCTCATGGGAAACAGGAGCTTAAAGGAAAACCTCCCAGAGCAGGTGAGTTTTGACATTCAAATATGAGTCAGCTGGACCAGGGGAGGGAGGAGGTGGAATGTAAGTTAGGAGGAAGGAAACAGGAACCAGACATTCAAGGCAAAGGGAGCAGCAGGTGCACATACATGGAGAGGAGGATGAGGGTGGCCTCTTTGGGACCAAAGAGTCCAAAGTGGCTGAAGCGTTGGTGTGAAATGGAGCAGTGGAGAGGGTGGAAGCTGGAGAGGTGACCCTCCTGGGGTGGGTGTGCTGTGTACAGCATGCTAGTGAGCTAGGTTTTCATCCTGGGGAATCATCTCAGGACTGTAAGTACTGCAGTGGCATACTAGATGGGTGTTGTAGAAAGCACAAGTGGCAGCGGATTGGACAGGATGTTAGTGCGACAAGAGGGATCAGCTACGAGGCTGGTGCAGCGATCTCCAGGAGGAGTAACGGATGTACAGCAGTGATGCAGGGGATGGCGGTAAGATGCAAAGGGCAGGACTGATGGGACTTTGTGGCTGACTGGACATGGGTTCAAGAGAGTGGATGAGTCAGGGAGAGCTTTCTGAGGGCTTACCTGATACCATTTACTGAATGAGGCATCCAGGGAAAGCAAGTTTGGGGAGAAAGATGTTGAGATCAGTTATGTAGCTGTTGTTTTCGTGGTGCCTGTGGGACATTTCCATAGAGATGAAGAGTAGGCAACCTGGTTGAGAGCTGTGGGTTGAAAATGTCTGGAAGCCACAGTATTCATCTGGTGGTTGAAGGTATAGGAGAGAATGAACTCATCCAGTGAATGTGAGAGTCAGAAAGGCAGAGACAACCCCCCTGGAGAATACCACTAAGGGACAGAGAGAGAAAGCAGAGCTGAGAAGGAAGCTGAGAAGTAATAGCCAGAGGTAGGAGGAGAACCCGGAGGATCTGGACCCACATAGGATGGAGAGAACATTTCGTGGAATCAGAGTCGTGGTGCAGAAACCGCAGAGGTCAGAAGGTCAGGACTGGAAAGGATCCACCTGACCTAGCCACAAATGTCAGTGGTCACCAGCAAGAGTAGTTTCAGTGGGTGCTTGAGGCAGAGGCCAGACAGCAGTGGGCAGAAGAGGGAATGGGAACGGGGAGGAAGTGGAGGTGGCAAGTGTTGACTCTTTAAGAAGGCTGGCTCGGTAGGAAAGGTCATGGAGTGGGTAGCTAGACAGTGACGAAGGAATGAGGAGAAGCTGGGTACAGGGGCTGGCAGGATAGCACAGGGCCCTAAAGCACCAGGAAGGGCTGGGTTCAGGGAAGGGTGATTCTTGAATAAAAGGGACTTCCCTTTCTCTGAGATGGAAGGAAAATGGATGTGAAGATGGCACTCACGCTCGACAGGCTCGACTTTCTCAGTGAAAGACCGTCTCAGCCTTCTGCTTATAGAGGCTTATGCAGCCTTCGAGGAATGGGAAGAGAGCTGCCTGTGCTTGCATCATATGTATTTGTAGTTTTCCCATTTCCTTTTTCATCTTTCTTGGTGACAGTATACTGCCTGGTTCACACCACTCAATTAATGCCTAATTGAGCTGAGTCACACAGCACTGTGTTATATACAGGGGAGGAGGAGGGTTCCTACATCCAATAGGTTGAACGAGATTTCTACTAGGTTGTAGTTGTACTCACTGGAACTCAGTCATTGATTCAATCAATATTTCATTTTAGAACACCATGTGTTAGGTCGCTGTGCTAGGCACTGGGGATACAGTGGTGAATAGTATGGCATTTTACATGTAATGAAGAAATCAGCTGTGTGCTTTTCATATTCGTACTTGTGGGGTTTTAATTAGAGGACTGAACATCCAATGAACTTTTTGACATTCCTGCAGACACAATGACCCTTCCCTGCTTACTGAAATTTTCTCACCTGCCTAGACACTGCTCTCTCCTGATTCTCTTGTCTCTGACTGCTCCCACCACCACCCCCATTATAATACTGTGCAGTCCTCATGAACCGCCTCTTCCTTGTTGGTCAGACGCCTTTTTGCAGGCTTCAACCACCACTTCAGGGGGATGACCCCCAGATCTCTACTACTTGTTCTGAGCTCTCCTCCAACAACTGTACACCTCCAATTTCCTACCTGTTAATTGCATTAGGATATCTTCTCTCTTCTTCAAGCTCAGGACTTCTAAACCTGAGCTCATCTTGCCTCTCTGCTCCCCACCCTTCACCTCCTGTCCCACTTCACCCCTTTCCCTGTATTCCTGGCCCATTTCTGTCAGTTCTGAGATTGAAAACTTAGGAAGATCAGAAGCCTGGGAGTCTTGCCCCATTTCATTCTTCTCTTTTAGATGTTTGCGATTCAGTTAAAATGGGATGGGATAAGGGGATGGATGTCACTGACGCTATCACATCAGCAAGGCCTCTGGTAACCAGGGGTCGATGTGGTTTCTCTTTTGCAGAAACTGCCATATAAGAACCCAACTCACCTTGCTCAGCAACAGGAACCCTGGTGTCGACTCAGCTCAACTCCCACAATCACGTCCATGAGGCAGGCTGTTTATTTTTTTGATCCTGAGGTACTAGCATTGAAATGCTATTTCTCCTTATATCCACTTAGGACTAATTAATATCCTTTTTGACAGGTAGTCTGTCCCTGACTACCTTAGCATCTTTATCTTGTCCCCAATCCAAGATCCTGCCAAATCTAAAACCAAATACCAACTTATCAACTTCCTCTGGGAAGTCAGAAGGCTTGGGTTTTGCTGCAGTTGATTATCTGGAGCAAATCATTCTCTCACCAGACTTCTCATTATAACCATGAATGAGGTAAGGCCCGTTAAGCTCAAGTCCAGCTCCCCACTCCTTAGACCTAACCATGAGACAATTCTTTATGGACAAGAGTTAAGAAGTCATCATGTATAGTAATTTGGTAAGTAGGGAGTTGGTGGATCTCAGGCCCAGAAAGGGTTCACTCTGCTTTGGGGCAAGAGTAGAGCCCAACAGAACCCGACTAGAGCAGGTGCAAATGTGGCAAGTTAATCCTGGGAGTGGCGGGGTTGGCTTCCTCCGCAGATACCGAAGGATGATCTGGATTTCCGATTAGCAGCCTTGTACAACCACCACACAGGGACGTTCAAGAGCAAAAGTGAGACACTGATACACCAGGAGACCATTCAGGATGCCCATGGGTAAGTGGTGGAGGCGGAGCCTCTCCCTAAGTACAATGCCAATCAAGTAAGGTAAAGTGTCATCTGGGAAATAACAATCAATAGGTTCTTGTTTCTATAGATTTCTGTTATTTTTTACTTCTGTAATACAAGTTCTGTTTTTTTATTTTCTAAAATGAACAGAGATCTTCCAGGATTGTGCTCATCTGTAGCACAAAATCTTTGGTTCATTCCAGAGGGTAAAAAGGGCCTTCAGCTGCTTTATTTTTATTTTTATTTTTTTGCGGTACACGGGCCTCTTACTGTTGTGGCCTCTCCCGTTGCGGAGCACAGGCTCCAGACACGCAGGCTCAGCAGCCATGGCTTACGAACCCAGCCGCTCCGCGGCATGTGGGATCTTCGCAGACCGGGGCACGAACCCGTGTCCCCTGCATCAGCAGGCAGACTGTCAACCACTGCGCCACCAGGGAAGCCTCAGATGCTTTAAGGTTGCATGCAACTCTTTCCCTCCTTACCTTTCTTCTCCTGATTGATTTCACTCTCCCGTGTTCTTCCCCACACCATCTTCTAGAATCAAGATCCAATTCTCTGGAGAATCTTTATCCCCTCCCCAGCCACCCGCCATCACTTCCCAAGCTAACATCAGACACTGGATCAACCCTAAGAAGGAGTCTATTCACAGCATCCAGGGATCCATAGGTAAGGGTCAGAAGACTGAGGGGTGGGAGGCAGATGGATGGTGCAAGAGTTTTTCTAAATGGTCACAGGAATCAGGGGGTTGAGGTGATTGGCTATTAGGGAACATCAGGGATAACTGAGAGTCTGGCACATATCAGACTAAAACCAGGGGACATGCTGACTGTAGAGCTAGGAAATGAATTCAGTTTTTCAGAGCCACTACCTCAGCCTTAGGTCTAGCGGACAAAAATTTTCAGCAAAGGGCAGAAACCGGGGAGTGAAAGACCTATAGCTACCTCCCATCAGTCCTCTATATGCCAGTTTCCTCAGCTGTTAGAACCTTCTCCATTGTCCCCATAAATGTATGGGCGACAAGTTCCCAGAAAAGGCAAAGGATCTGAAATTCACAGCCCACTCCCTCTTCTCTTGTCTCCACAGTGTCCCCTCACACTGCAGCCAGCAATGGAGGATATTCCCGAAAGACTGATGGTGGCTTCTTCTCCACCTAAGTGTTGACGGGCCCCTGGACTAATTAATCATAGTGGAACATCCTGCCGCCCATCTCCATGAAATAGATTTGTGTAAGATGAAGCCTGGAGTATCTGTTACCCATGGACTACCAGTTGCCACATGACTACTCTTAAAATATGGAAGTTTCTCAACTTCTAGAAACTAATCCTGTTGGGCATATTTGCAACTCGGAAAGTCATCTTGCTGAAAAGATACAGATTTAGGACAGAACAGCACTGTTTTTGGCAGGAGACAGGTATTCACGTTTTGTGAACTGGAGTCATTCGAACCATATCCATTCAACATTTCTTGCAAACTTTTTTTTTTTTTTGTGGTATGTGGGCCTCTCACTGTTGCGGCCCCTCCCGTTGCAGAGCACAGGCTCCGGACGCACAGGCTCAGCGGCCATGGCTCACGGGGCCTAGCTGCTCCGCGGCACATTGGAGCCTCCCAGACCGGGGCACGAACCCGTGTCCCCTGCATTGGCAGGCGGACTCTCAACCACTGCGGCACCAGGGAAGACCCTCTTGCAAACTTTATGTGTCAGGTACTGAGCTAAGTGTCGGGAAAGCAAGAATGGACATAGTCCATTCTCTTGAGCTTACAAACACTAATTTTAGTAGCTCTTTGTGGCATTAACACTTATGCTGAGGTCACGCTTAACAGATTTCAGACCTTCTGGATTTAGTCATTTGCTGAGCTCTACTTTTCCATGAGGGCTCCATCTCCCTGGCTCCTTGCCATTGTTTATTCTCTTAACTCTGCTACTGTCTCCTTGCCTGGGAGTCAATTCTCTTTTCTTTGCCTTGATTTGTGCTGTGATATATAGCCCCCTATTCTTGGAAACAGCGTTCAACAACCTGATCCTAGGGTCTGAAGGTACCTAAAAACTGATACAGTAATGTGGTTTCTAAAATTACAAGCCACTCACAGGAGCCTGCTGTTAAAATGAGCAAGAAATGGCAGACCTTTTCGAATATTGTACACTAAGTTCCCATTTCTAAGATTGGACAGCATATGCATTGTTGAATAAATCAGATATGAAAGGGCTTCTTCCTGGTACTCAGGTGCAGGGTCAATACCACCAAACTATTACAGCCCCTCTTCCACCGAGATACTCCAATCGGTGCATAGTGTTTGCTGCCCAGTGGCAATATTTTCAGTTCTCTTTATTTAGAATAGCTGAAAGTGGCAGAGTGGGTGACTTTCTGGGATAATCACCTCATGTGGGTTGATACTGAACATCAAAAAATTTATTACTGCGATCCATGCATGGAGGCTTTAAATAATATAGGTTCCTAGACAAGCCCCCCCCCCCCCCCCCCCCCCCCGCTAATTCTAATTCAGTAAATCCGGTGCGGGTCCCTGGAATCTGAATTCTTATAAGGTCTCCAAGTTCTCTTACAGATACATACACGTATACAGACATGCATATATACATATATCCCTTCGCGGCAGGCGCTGTATAGTGCCTTTAGACCGGGGGCACCAGTGTTGGTTCCATACAAAAGAGTCATTATGACAAGTCGGGTCTAAAGAAAAAAAGGGAGGCGGCTACAAAACTGCAGGGGGGAACAAGGCCTCCATATCCTTTCAGCTCCCGCTCCCGCGGGCGAGGCGACGGCTCATTCTACCTCCGTCCGCCAGCGCCCGGGGCCCGCAGCCGACCGTTGACACGTTAGCCTCAACGCCACGGGCGGCCGTGCCCTGGGCCCGGGCTCAGATCAGAATCGCCTCGATAATCAGTGGTCCAGGACAAGCCCAGCCTCATCTATCTGATCAATTCATCACTTCTGAGCGCCGGGCCTCATAGGACCAGATCCGGGACCTCCGGGACCGCGGCGTTGCCACCGCCCAAGGGGCCTCGCTGCACAGCGCCCCGAGGAAGGGGCTTCGCAGGAGGGGAGCTTTTCATTTCGGGTTGGTCCGGCGGGGCGGGAGTCACAACCCGATCAAATAAGATCAAGGTGTAGGCCGGGGGAGGGGCACGGGGGCGGGCGCACGCACTCGCCTTGCACGCACCACGCGCGCACTCACACATTCTCGCGTCCACTCACACACACAGCCCGCAGGCGCCTTCCACACACCTCGCCACACTTCTGACCAGCCTCACCCCATGCCGCTCTCCCTCCGGTGAAAGAGCGGAAGTACGCAAGCTCCTTTAAAGCCTTCCGCCCCTCCTCCGCCCCGGAGGGTTCTGGGAGGAACAACCGAGCACAGGCCCTCGCCGAGTGCGCACTTTCCTGCCCCCACGTGGCTCGGAGGGGAACCAAGGGCCCAGGTAAAGGCGGGACAAATTCCCACAATATTGAATCGTGATTGTCCTTGGATCTCTGTGCAGCTACACATTTATATCCATATCTGTAGTTTTTCTTTGATCTTTGATCCAAGTTCTGGATATAAGATGATTCAATCTCAAGAGACCTCTAGGTGAATGATTTCTTTCCCAGGGAGAAGGCAAATTCTGGTCATTACCAACATCAGCTTCCCTAGGAGCTCCTTCTCCCTTGGGAGAAGGCAAACATCATTTTACCAAAGGGAAAGGTAAGAATAGATTACTTAAGTCCAAGGACTAGGTAGTTAGAATATAGTAACTATATATACTACTAATATACTACCTAATATACACTAGCTAGTAGTATAAGTAAAGGTAGGAAGACATATCCCTGTCCCCACAGAGCCCTCTTGCTACCCAGAACTTGCTGTCGCAGTCATATTGCTGAATCTTCATTTACTTTCATATCCGCTAAAATAAATCTTTCAAGAATGAGTGTAAGAAAAAAAAAAGGAACAATTATGTAAGTTAGAATTAGCTCCTTTCACATCACAAAGCACAATTTGAATGTCTCAGTTCCTTCTTTTTCCTTTTTCAAGAAATACATATGTGAGGGGGGAAGACAAATCAGAATTTTGTTATCATTTGTACTTGTGCCAGTCCCACCATGTACTTGGAATAAACAAATTGGGGAAAAGTGTCCATTGTATGTACCAGAAGCCCAAGGATTTTCTAGGTATGTGGCTGGGTAACCTGATAACCTCATTTCACTGAAGAAGTTTATGGCTTGTAATGGCAGTTGATACTTTTAATAGCTTTGGTAGGTAAAATGTATTGGAGAATGTTATCTACATTGTTTAATACACCTCAAAATGTGTGTGTGTGTGTGTGTGTGTGTATATATATATATATATATATATATATAATTAGTTCCCTCAAAGATATACCCTCATAGATTCTGAACTATATCATACATTCAGTGACCATCACAAGGGGTTAACAGGATTGATGATATTCACTAATATAAACTAAAAAGGTATACTATGGGCAGAACCCAGGGGAATATTGAACAAAGTTCAATAATTCAGCATGCATGTGACAAAATGGACAAAAACAGTAGGGAAAGAAACTTTATTTTCAAGGATTTGTGCAGACAATGGTGAATAAAAAGTCTTATTTCAACTATAAAAAGCTGACTTCATTCCACCCTGGCATACAGGGTTTATGGTTACGCCAGTTTGAATCTGAGGCAATACTGCTATCCCCCTTCTTCCACCCCTAAAAGACTCCCTTAGAGGAACAACTTCCTACAATTTTCAGTCAAAAATATATGACACATCAACCAAAGTGATGAATTAAACAAGTTTCTGCTTATCTAAAGTCAAGAAATGAAACAAGCTGTGTATTTGTTTCTTGCTGTAAATTACCTTCACTCTGTGTACTTTTTGGTACATTCTGGTATGAAAACATCTCAAAATATAACAGTTCAAGAGCTTAGGTCAAGATGACCCACCCAGGAGGCTGTAAAAATTGATCTGAACTGTGAAATGGGACTAGTTTAAAATATGAAGCAGCTCTAAACACCAAGCTTAGAGATATTAGCCCTATTAGGAAACAAAAGTCATTAAAGTTACAAAATAACAAGTGCAAAACATGCTGAACCTGTATTTCCAGAGAGTGACATTACCGTTGGCCAACAGGTTCCAAACTCACACCCACAAGGTGTAACTCTTCTTTCTGTTCCACTAGCCTTCCTTTCTCTTGTGTGAAAGATCCTCAGAAATGACAATGAAAAATATATGAATCATTGAAATTTACCCTGTGGACCAATTCCTGAAGAGACAACAGCCATAACTCTGAGATGATTAGACATGTAGTGTTTACTTGATGACTTTCTATACTTCTAGGAACCATCAAAGCACTAAACTGAATGTTTCAGAACCTAAACTTCCTAGCAGCTTTTGTTCTTTTGGAATAAGACAAAAGACAATTTACTGCCACACTGGGGTCAACCACAGCCAACTTGTCCACAGTCAAGTTTACTTTAGTGAATAATTCCACTGGTAGACCTATGTCTCTGCTTGCTCTTTACAATAGTTTAATTTTAGACCAATTCTTTTTTTTTTTAATAGAGAAGTTCTAGGCTTCAGAAATGCAACAGTTGATCCTTTTGCAGATAAAAGGAGGAGGGAATGGAGAAGTCTTCACTTCAAATGTAGAGTCATCTAAAATGATTTGTTCAGGAGTTCCCATACTCCATGGAAAAGCCCATCAATCTCAATTGCGAACCTCTGCTTTCCTTTACTTTAGAAAACACTCTCATTTTATTCATGGATTCTATGAACTGTTCAAACATGCCTATGAATGCCATCAACTTCTCTCATTCAAATTTCCCATGTTCTTATAATTTCCAAGAGACAGCTAAATACTACAATATGAAGAAAATTAAAAGTGGGCCAAGAAACACAAGTAATCGACTGAAAATTGCCATAACCCAGATTTAAACAAAGAATAAGTTTGTATGTTGGTTAACATGACAGAACTTCCATCTAACATCACAATAAATTCTAGGTGACTTTACTAGTATATGAATTAATATACTAGATTTATTTATTTCTTCTACCCCAACTGCAAATTATTTCTTCAATAGTTTCTCTTTCCCCTAGTGGTGGCATTTAAAACTGAGTAACAGTATTTAGCACTCAGTAATTTAGAAAATATTTA